ACCTGACTTCCTTAGTTTCACCTTAATTGAACTACAGGTGCATTCAATTTGGGGTCCTGGGTGGTGCTTTTCCAACTCTGCCAGCCTTAAAATAAGAAATTGATGTATGTAGTTTTTGCTCCAGAATCCAGCGCTTTTGGATAAAGTTTGGTTTAAATGTTCTTTTGAACTCTCTATCAAAGAATAATGACGAATGAACTTGATGTGTGCAAAGTAGAGAACAATTCAGATTTTTTTTTTTTATGATATTGCAATCGTGATTAATATAGGTCCGAAATCAGGTGTGCCACTAAGAACACGGAGTTATAATAATAATAATAGTGATAATAATATGTATTGGTATATTTGTAAGTGTATTTCTATAGCACTCAAGGTGCCTTAACAATACAAGATGTACAGAAAACAAGAAATTCAAGTCGGGTCTAACGCTAAGACCTTTGTATGCCGACGTGCAGCTTAACCTGTTAAGCCCTGAGCCTGTTTTTCGGGCCTCAGGCTCGAAAATGACATTCCCAGAACAAATGACCATATCTTCACTTCTAAAAGGGTTAAATTAATAATCTTTTTTCTCAAAGCAATGATATACCTGTGAGTTGGATGTAGAAGAGTCAGAATCAATATAGAGGTTTTTATTTTAAAGTAAATTCAGATTGAACATATGTAAAAAAATGTAAATTATAGTTTCCGTTATCTTTGTTTGCTTTCGCTGCCGCAAGTCGCACAGTGATGATACTTAGACCATTGGAATCTGTGGAATCTGGTTGGTGCAGATCCGATGAAGTATAACATATTTCTACCGTGAGTTATGTGTCAAGTGCGTTAGCACTCTTTTGCTTAGTGCTAATTCAGAGGCTCTGCGTTAGACTTATGTTTTGTTTCGGTAACAATTGTTCATATCGTCAGGTAGCTGAGCTTCTTCACGTTAAGTGGATATGACACATTCATAGTTTGTTAAATGTTAAGAAGCCCTCAGACGCTGTTTCTTGCAAGATGTTGCGGGAGCCCCCGCATGGATGATGATGATGATAACCCACTCACTAAAAGGAAGATGACAAAATAAATAAGTACAATAAAATATTAAATACTATAAAATAAATAAACAAACCGTGTCGCTGATGCCAACACACCCTAATTCACACTATTTTTTTTTTTTTCTTTTACAATAAGATCCTACTTTTGTATTCAGTTATGGAAACAGCAGCAGTCTATTTGCTGAGGTGCAACCAAGCGGTTAGCCAATGTTGAAGATTTAACATGTAAAATGTGTCGTATAAACAACTACCGCACATGATGAGGCAGACATACACATACATGCTTTAAAAACGACTTAACTTAATGCAACTTAGTTTTTATTCTCAGGATTTTGTTCCAATATGAAGCGTGATGTAATGGTTTGTTTTAATACAGATTTTTGTGAGAAAAAGCCGATCATCACCTCAAGAGTTTTACTTTGGACTATCTCTAAATCGATTCAGTAAAAATTCCTCTTTTGTGTTTCTATGTAAATCACAGAACGTAAACACTTAAAATAATGTACAGTAAACACTATAAACTCATCAGTTTTCCTTTTTAAAACACCTCCTTCAAATAGTTCTCCGGGGTAAAAAATGAAACTTGACAAATATGCTGCCAGCTGCTCCTTTTCCACATGAAATAAAATTAGGTGACATTGATTTAGACTTTGTCGATTGAGTTCGAGTTATTTAGAACAGATGTGGGTGTGTTAACAGTGGCAGAGGCAAAAAAGATAAACATATTGACAGGAATATTATGCAATCCATTGCATGACACAATGTACCTTTCACCTGCTTTAAAAAAATGTGAGGAGGCTTATCACCATAATCTTTCTATCGTCTTGTGATATTTGCTTTTGAGAGAGAATTGTGTTGATAATCAAGATTCCTTTGGTCCCTTTGTTTCCACCTTGTGCAACTTGACATTTGCTTTCTTTCAAAACCTTAAACACACCTCACACAGCTATGTTCAATTATTTTTGTTTTACACTGAATCTGGGAATACGTGAGGTTACTGTAATCTGATCATAAAAATGGGAACATGTTAAATAGATGGACATGTTAGCGATGGTCTCTTTATTCCTTCTATTATGCTTTCTTTCCCTTTGAGTTTATTCCCCAATTCAAAAAGGTATTGAATTTGAAGAATAAAGCTCTCAAACATAACAAGCTTTCTTATCGTCAGGCAGAGAACTTGTTAGCTTAGTTTGACGCTACCCACACATTAGGTTCACACGGTTTGTTTAGGACATTTTTGTAGCATTGTTCCATGTGTCAGAACTGTCTGTACACCATTGCTCTTGACATATGACATAACACAGCAAAGAGGATGCCAAAGATTCCTCGATAAGGCATCTCATGCTCTCACTACCCTTGGAAACAGTGATCAGATATACGTTGTTAATGTTGTACACAATGTTCTTTTCTTTTCTAACCTCGCCCATTGACGTATATGAATTCCTTCAAATCATTGTAATCGTATATGAAAAAAAACAGTTGCTTTAATATACCAATGCGGCTGGCTGTAATCAAGAATATTGTTTTTGCAAAATGTATATTTGAAAATCAAGATTGACACTATTAAAACAGCTTACTATAAGTTCACATTTGCACTGAATGATTTAACCCCGCTCTAACAAGTGCAACAAAATGAAAAAACTTGTCACTTACACACATAGACATAGTGCTCAGAAGAGCTTTTATCACCTATTACAAAAGAAGACACCTATAGGCAGCTTTACAAACATCACGCAACACTTTAAATTTACTAAACTTGGGTTATTGAACAGTGACGCTCAATAGAGCTCGGAAAGTGTGACGCAAAAGACAGAAAAAAAAAAAAGTTTATAAAAACACTGAACTTTCTCATGGAGAGAACTATTCGAGGGTTTTCATGATAATGTTAAATAATGTTATATATACGATTGATTGACCATCTATTTTTAAGTAAAAGGCAGTAAAATAAGACTTTCTCCCTGTTCCTTTCCATCAGGGGCTGTATGATCTGCTCAAAGTGTCCATGTCTTGTGAATTGTTTAACATGAGTAGAACCACCTTTTTGTATTATTAACGTTGGCACACTCCACACACAACGAGCCCTGCTCTTTACCGGGAAGAAACAATTGGTTCCTGTTTGGTAGAATGTGTAACTGTCAATCATGCAGCAAGTAAGCAGGTATTGAGAATTGAGAGATGTTAGATATCAGGAAAAAATTGGAAAACATTAAAAAAACATTGTATCACTTAAAGGTAGGGTAGGTAAGAATGGAGAAACCAGCTCGAGTGCGCTAGAATTTGAAAATACACAAACGGAAAGAATCTGCCCCTTCCTTCAGACTTTCTTACAGAGCCCCTCCTCCAACACACACGAGCGCGCACATGACCAATGAGGGCACGAGATAAGTTTGTGCACAGATGGAAGGCTGACAGGCAGGTAGGCCATCCAGTTATTTTAGCCGGGCCGGCTCAGATGATTGGTCGTGCTTTTTACAGCGCCACGGCTTCCACAGATGACATTTTTTATGTATTTATTGTCAAAGCATTTAATGTATTCATTGCTATCGGGATGTTAAGAGCATTCCATGGAATATAACAAAAAGTGTTTCTGAAGTGAATTACATACCCCACCTTTAATAATACTTAAATAATACAGTTTGTTTCTCATACAAAGAAAATGATCCCAACAAAATTAAATGACCTCTGTATTATTTTGCTTATTCTCAATGGGTGCATTTTTAGAGGCCTATTGATCTGTATTGAAAATGGATCAAATGTGGCAGAGGTGGAAGAAGTACTTCAGGATTATTTACTTAACCCTTAAGAGTTCCTTAAAAAAAGGTCAAAAAATGCCACCTTCACAAAACCTGCTATAGAAATATGATATATTCATATTTTTGCTACTCCAGTCTGACATATACATATGAAATATGTTTTATATTTTGAGGATTTTAACCCTTTAAATGCCAGTTTGTTGAAACAACAACTGTTTCTTTATTGAAAAAAACAAAAAACTAGAATAATTTTCAAAACATAAATTTCAAGGAATATTTGATTATTATTATTAGGTCCCTAGATGGGTCAATGATTAGCAGCAACATTGATTGTAATGCATTGTAAGCAGGTATTGACAATTGATAGAGATGTTATATATCAGGAAAAAAACGTGGACAACATTGAAAAAAAAAGTACAAAAGCATCAAAATATACTTAAAATACTCATTATGCTTAATTGCACATTAAAACACCATATATTTTTAAATGATTGTATTATGATAATTAATGCATCTTTTACTTCAATGTTAAACTTGGTAAAAGTAGGGCTTATTTGAATTACTTTAACTGGGTAGCTTAAAGTATCATATTATAATGTAGGTGTGAATGATAATGTATTGGTTAATTTAATTGTTATTAATAACCTACATTTGCAAAGTAACTAGTAACTAAATATGTACAATACTTTTAGTGGAGTAATAGTACAGCGTTTGACTACAGAATTTAATGGAGTAAAAGTATGTCGTAGCATAATGTAAAAATCCTCAGGTATAGTACAGTACAAGCACCTCAATTGTACAGTACTTGAGAACATGTATTTGGTTACTATACACAACTAGTGAAGTAGTATAAAAGTAGTTCAAAGAGCTTTACAGTTCAAAATTATTTGTGATACGGGATGATTGAATTAATACTCAGACATTAAAAGGCATTGCGTCAGAACAATTTAACGCAAAATGAATGAAATGAATGTGAACGATTGCATTTTACAAAACACTGGGAGATACATGCCTGCTGCAAACACAACAACATCAGGAAAAACCAGCTGAGTTGGTGATTATTCACATGTTCACATGCATACCTTCTAAGAATATGTGTTGAGGTATGAAGGGGGTTATTGTTACGTGAAGGAACTAAAGATTCTGGTAAAAACGTACTGTAGTCAAAGGTTGTGGGCGGAGCTAGGTATGAGGTGTGGGGTATTTAATTGGCAGGACATAGGGAAGAAGGCACAGTGAAAATGGCTCTTTACCAACTTCTGTGTGGGTCAGCGGTGATGATCATCCTCTTATCCAATGGTGAGAAAGATCATGTGATTTATCTTTAAAATGTTACAAATGTTTGGTTGTTAAAAGGATAAAAGGCTAATTTGCTTAAATTGTCAGAATGCTTGTAATCAGTTGCAATCCGTTCTGCTTTGTTTACAACTATATTGATTGGATCCAGTATTTTATATTTCTTTATTTAAAACTATGATGAATTAACATGGACAGCAACAGTATTGGTACTGTTATTAAGGTAATTCCTTATTGTTTTATCTGCTGAAGAAACGGTGCAGAACTAAAATATTTCAGGGCGGGTTAACCCATCAATGTTAACGGACCATCATTTATTATGATAACCCTTATCAACATTGTGGTATTTTAAAAATCCTTTCCTAAAAGCACAACAAGAAGCTTAAAACATGGTGTCTCCCTGCCCTGAAAGAAACAATTTCTTAGCAATTTAGTTGGAAAAAAACCCAAAAATAATCACATTTGTTCATGTTTAAGCTCATTTTTTGTTGGCGTATTTTCACGTTTTATTTTCTTTGCACTGAGAGTTCTATTGTGTTTCCGTGTGTTTAGTTATTTTGTGCGATTGCTTAGAAGAAATGTGTTATTTGACAAGGCAAGGCGTGCTGAAGTTCATCCATCTAATGTCAAAAGTAAAGCATTATCAGTGCATCAGGATTTTGGGTTTGTCTAGACTGCAGATTCTGTGACACGATAAGGCAGACTCCATTGGAAATATGTGGAATGTAGACTTTAAAGTGAATTGAAAGGAAATTAAGTGGCCATTTCTGCCTCCAATAAAGGAAGCCACAGTCAAATCTCATACAGTATATCCTGTGTTTTGGTGTGTGCTCACCAATGCATGATGGAGTGCATCTACTCAATTACTTAAGTACAACATCAAAGTACTTGAGTATTATAATTTCAAGCCACTTTATAGTTCAATTCCACTACAAGCCTAACGGTGCGTCTACACAGCAGCGTTAAAAAAATCTTGAAACGCTTCTGCCCATTCACTTTGAATGGGGTGACGTCACTTTCCCTCACTTTTCGCCGAAATGCATTGTGGGCAGGCGAGCGGAGATTTTCAGGATTTTCAGGATTCAAAGTTGAACAATGTTCAACTTTTGAGGCTGAGGTGGAAGCGTCAGCCAATCAAATCCCGTGTACGCAAATCTGACAGTTCAAGCTCTAGCCAATCAAACGGCGTGTATGCTGGGAGAGACATACCGCAGGTCATTTCCTCATATTCCAAAAAATGGAGGAGAAATTAGCGGTAGCGAATCAATCACCCGGTGCTTTATGACCAGACCTACTGGGATATAAACCGGAGGAGCCAGGCATGGAGGGAGGTGGCAGAGACAGTGGTATGTTTTCGCCTGTTTTGGGAGTTTATATCCAGTTTACTTCGGGCTTTTTTGCTTCGTATGTCGCAGGCGGGAGATTCATGTGATTGGTTGTTCGCAAAAAATCCCCAAGCTTCAGATACGCCCACCTCCAAGATTTTTTTAACGCTGCTGTGTAGACGTACCGTAAGAGAACTGTTAGACCGTTATGTATTGTACTTCAAATTACATGTTTAGTTATTGGTTACTTTACAAAATAAAGAGTCTATAAAATATTATTACTATTATTGCAAGCAAACAGTTTATACAAGTCAATTAATTAATCAATTATTTGGTTTGTTTCTTTAATTCTAGATTAGGTTAGTAGATTCTTATGACTATACCTTACCCTACAATTCCAATACAGAAACTTTGCTTGTAGTATTTTCACAGTGTGGTATTAGTAAGTTTACTTAAAGGGCCCATGTCATGGCCATTTCCACTGATCATAATTACATTGTTGAGGTATACTAAAATAGATTTATACTGTGCAATTTTCCAAACTCACATTGGTTTCGCATACAGCATCTCTGTCAAGCATGTGTATTCAGCAGTATTCACTTTCTCCACTAAACGACTCGTTGGAGCTCTTGCCCCCCCCTCCCTGTGAGCCTAGTGTGCTCCGATTGGTCAGCTCGGCCACTCGTTCTGATTAGTCAACCACCAGAGAGGCTGCGCCCATGTCAGTGCTTTTCCCGGCTGCTCTCAGCGTAACATCAGTCTTATCATGGCGTCGGTACAGCGGTATATTTTATATACATATATATTTTTAACTGTTGTTATAGAAGAGTGTGACGGCCTCAGGGCCTTTGTCTTACGGTGGGGTGGAGCTGAAGAGGGTAATCAGCGCGATCACGGACACCTCCGTAGCCGGTGCTATTAATCCCAGCGGCCCGGAGTCTCTCTCCAAAGCGGCTGCAGAAGGACGAACTGAGCGACCCTCTCCCCTCGACCACCTGTCTCTGCATTTACCACAATAAATGTGCCGTGGTTTTGTAAACTCGTGTATGTCTCCTTGTCTTTCCGTTGTGGCCTACGAGCTACTCTCATAACAAAGAGTAAGTTATTTTTACCCGTTATAAACTACTACTGTTTGATGAGAAATCAAATCATGGTTTGCTATATATGAATTCAGGGAAGAAAGGATAGGCCTACTAAGTATTTCCATTAAACTTTATTTTTAGAAATGTACAAAATGAACATAAATATACATATATACACGGTATATCATCCATTCCTCCTCCTCGCATCTTGCCTGCGCACAGTCGGTGCGGTGCCTTTTAGCACCCTCAGTAGTAGTAGAATCCCTTCCCCGTCATGGATTGTCCGCCAGGATCTGGCTGGACGAAATCAAATGCAAATCACAAAATATTAGAGAAACTTAGTTGTTTTAGATTCGTTAGTAGTAGTTGTGTAATGAACAGCTTGCCTGCTAATATGCTAACCTAGCTTTGTTTACCTTGGTAGCTAACACGATATGAACGTTAGCTTGGAGGAAAGGCAACTATAATGCAGTGTAATAAAACTACTATGAACAAAAGCTAGTGGTTCATATTAGGCTAGCAATAACGTGTTTATAATTGCAATCGTATACGGGTATTCTGCTACGTTCGGTCATACAATGTAACTTGCATGAATACATTGTTTTGCGCTAGCATACAGCTAGCCTCGTTAGCTACATGCAGTATATGTACGGTCACAATGTACGGTAAATCACAGTACAGTATACTGTATGAGTATTCCGTGTGTGTGACTGCAGACATTCTCCTGCCATGACAAACATGTAAGGCCATCTGCTGACATTGTAGTTGATATATTTAAACGCTAGCAACGTAGCATCACAAAAATGTTTTTCTGACCAAAACTAGCTCTAGCTCCGTGTGTTAGATCGCTACGCCAGCTATAATGTAATTACGTTTCGCGACTGACCGGCAAATCACCCGGAGTATACTGTCAATAGGTATTTTGTGTGTGAATGCAGACATTCTCCTGCTATGAGATACATGTATGCAAGGCCATCTGCTGATATTAGAGTTGATATATGGAAACTCTAGCAACTTAGTTAGCACAGTTAGCACCGTGTCAATGGCTTAGCAGTCCAACACAGTTTACACATTTAAACAGTCTTGTTTGATAAATACACAAATAACAATGCAAACTTACAGGTTGTATACCCAGATCTTCCCCTGCTCCAAACGGTCCAAACAAGCTGTGCATATCCGGCCTCAAACTGGGCAATGTTTTGGAAGCTTTCGTCTGTGAAATGCCGGTTCTTCGAACCTCTGGAGGAGGAACACGCCGCTGCTGGTGTGGCCATAGCTCTTCGGGATTGGTCCATTTCGTTCCGGGTACCGCATGACATCAGGCGGTACCCGGAACTAAATGGAAGACTCAAATGGGCAGTGACGTATCTCCAACGAGGCGTTTTGGGGAGGTATTTTCTGTGTTAGAGTTTTACTCGCTACAGGGTGTACTTTGAGGGTTTTGACTCTGCACACCGTTTACATGCATAAAAACCTTCATAACACACAAGGGGACGGGTAATAACCAGAAAAGCATGACATGGGAGCTTTAAATAAAAGATGTGAATTGTTCCACAACTGAATGCTTGTCATCCCTTGTTTCAACCAAGACGTTTGCATAACATTTTTCTTTCTGTGTTCTCAATTTCAGGATGTCATTCACTACAACAGCAGCCAGTTCTTGGTAAGCGTCCAAGAACAACATACAAGTTTATTTATGAAAATGACTGGTTGTACATATCCATGTCTAATCTGTTCTCTTTTCTCTGTCAGCATGTGGCCGGGCGGTGAACAACCCCAGAATTGTGGGAGGCCAAGATGCGGCTGCAGGAACTTGGCCCTGGATAGCCAGTTTACAAATTGATAAGGATCACCGTTGTGGAGGGTCCCTGATCAGCGATAAGTGGGTTCTGACTGCTGCTCACTGCATCCCAGAGTAAGGAATCAAGTTTTCTCTGAGAAATATTACAGGAATTGTTTCTATTTTGTTGGGAAAGTTAAATAATAAACCTAAATGTACTATTTTGTCTTAAGGTTTCCCACAAACATGACGGTTGTTCTGGGCCGCGAAAGCATGACAGGTCAAAACTTGAACGAAGTGTCAAGGGTAGTTGATAAGATCATAACCCATCCTGCTTACGATGCATTGAGCGACGACAACGACATGGCTCTTCTGAAGCTGTCGAGTCCCGTAAAATTTACCGACTACATCCAGCCGGTGTGCTTGGCCTCTGCAGACAGCACCTTCTACACCGGTGACAACAACTGGGTCGTTGGTTTTGGTACTACATCAAGTGGTAAGCTGACTGACTCCACACTTGATCACACATTGATGGGTACATATGTCTGTTGTCTTTTTAAACACCAATTTCTCTCTGATTAGGTGGCCCCCTAGCCGACACCCTGCAGGAAGTGAGGGTCCCAATCGTGGGAAACAATGAGTGCACATGTGCCTACCCATATCTCACAGACAACATGATCTGTGCTGGGTTAAGAGCTGGAGGGAAGGATTCATGTCAGGTAATCAACTTTTTGTGTATTTACTTTGTGACACTTTCTTCAGAAATTTATTTTACAGGGAGCAGGAAAATGTGCAAAAAAGACGCAGTGGGAATGTTGAATTTCAGTAGTAGGGTGGCTGATTGGAAGATTGGTTTCAATATAATCTCAATACACATCCCAGAAATCTATAAGATTATATAAATGAGCTGTCGGTCATGCTAATTACAAGCTTCTCTTTGACTACCCACAATTAAAATTTGTATTATGTGTGTGTTACCTTAATGTAGTTTTCAAAGTTTGTCCCAGTTGCAAGAATTGTTGACTTACCCTAAAGTTTTAAGTAACATAACATAACATCCAGTCTTTGTGCTAAACTAGGCTGAACACATAGATACATCCACCAAATAAACACAGAATTGAAGCCAAATTAAGTTCTCATGACTTTGATTAAGACAGAAGGAAATAAGCAAGCCTTCGACTGCATTGATTAAAAGTATGTCCCGTAAATGTATTTTAAAGGAAGTCAGGCTGTAAAAAACAACAAGCTTTATCAAATCTCTAATTTCTAGGTAAAATCATTGAAACGGTTGTTTTTCAACAGCCAAGTCATTTCTTGAATCTAAATAACAGTTTTGATGTGTTCCAGTCAGGCTTTCAACCAACCACAGCACTGAGACTGCTCTTGTAAAGGTCTTCAATGACATCCACTTAAACACAGACAGTGGAAGAACTTCAGTGTTAGTATTATTAGATCTCAGTGCTGCGTTTGACACTGTTGACCACAACATATTACTAGACCGACTAGAAAACTGGGTGGGACTTTTGGCAACAGTTCTAGACTGGTTTGAATCCTACTTAAAGGACAGGAAAAATTGTGTTTCTATAGGTAAATTCACATCTGAATAGACAAATATGACATGTGGGGTTCCTCAAGGCTCCTTCTTGGGGCCTCTTCTCTTTAACATCTACATGCTACCACTGGCTCAAATAATGAAAAGCAACAAAATAAGTTACCATAGCTACGCAGGTGACACACAAATTTACATAACCATTTCACCAGGAGACTATGCTCCAATTAAAACACTGAGTAAGTGCATTGAACAAATCAATGATTGGATGTGTCAGAACTTTCTCCAATTAAATAAAGATCAAATTGAGATAATTGTTTTTGGAGCCAAGGAGGAACGAATAAAAGTTAGCGCTGAGCTTCAGTCTGCAATGTTCAAAACAACAGATAAAGCCAGAAATCTAGGTGTAGTCATGGACTCTGACCTGAGTTTCAACAGTCACATTAAAACAGTTACTAAATCAGCCTACTATCACCTAAAGAACATATCTAGGATTAAAAGACTAATGTCACAGCAGGATTTGGAAAAACTTGTCCATGCTTTTATCTTCAGTAGACTCGACTACTGTAATGGTGTCTTTACAGGTCTCACTAAAAGATATATTAGATATCTGCAGCTAATTCAGAACGCCGCTGCTCGAGTCCTCACTAACACTAAGAAAGTGGATCACATCACTCATGTTCTGAAGTCCTTACACGGGCTTCCTGTGTGTCAAAGAATAGATTTCAAAATACTGCTGCTGGTTTATAAAGCTTTGAATGGTTTAGGCCCAAAATACATGTCTGACCTACTGCTAAATTATGAACCATCCAGAACTATTAGGTCTTCTGGTCAGCTTTCTGTCCCCAGAGTCAGAACTAAACATGGAGACGTTCAGTTATTATGCTCCAAATATCTGGAACAAACTACCAGAAACCTGCAGGTCCGCTGCAACTCTTATTACTTTTAAATCCAGGCTGAAGACTTTCCTTTTTGCCGCTGCTTTTAATTGATATATTCTGCTGCACTGTAACTTTTATTCATGTACCTTTGTTATTCTTGTTTTATTATCTTTGCTTTTAAAGGTGGGGTAGGTAATTTTGGAGAAAAAACCAGCTCGAGTGCTCTAGAATTTGAAAATACACAGCCGGAAAAAATCTGCCACTTCCTTATAGAGCCCCTCCTCCAACACACACGAACGCGCACATGACCAATGAGGGCACGAGATAAGTTTGTGCACAGATGGAAAGCTGACAGGCAGGTAGGCCATCCAGTTATTTTAGCCGGGCCGGCTAAAATGATTGGTCGTGCTTTTTACAGTACTACAGCTTCCACAGATGACATTTTTTTATGGATTTTTTGTCAAAGCACTTAAGATATTCATTGCTATCGGGATGTTAAGAGCATTCCATGGAATATAACAAAAAGTGTATCTCGAGCCGGTTTCTCAAACGTACCTACCCCACCTTTAAATTAGTGTTTTTAAATGCCAATTTGTAATATGTTTCTTAATGCTCTTAATGTCTTTCATTTTTATAAAGCACTTTGAATTGCATTGTGTTGAAAGGTGCTGTATAAATAAACTTGCCTTGCCTTGCCATGCTTTAGCAGGGTGGATGGTTCTATCACATCACCTCAACCATCAATTTCTTTCTACAGGGAGACTCAGGTGGACCAATGATGATCAAAACTGGTTCAGTCTGGATCCAGAGTGGTGTTGTGAGTTTTGGAGTAGGCTGCGCCTTGCCAGAATATCCTGGAGTTTACGCCCGTGTGTCCCAGTACGAAGACTGGATCAAAAATTACACTGGCTCCAGCAAACCAGGCTTTGTTGACTCCATGTCCTCAGGAGTTGACACCGACTTAACCTTTGACTGTTCCGAAATAACCACAAACACTGAACCCCCCAAACCTTATCCCACCACCCATCACCCCTATCCCCCCACCCAACACCCCAATGCCACCACCCAACACCCCCATACCACCGATGACGGCAGTGTGTTTGGCAGTGGTGAGAGAGTGATCTCCTCACTCGGTCTTCTCCTTATGTCTCTCTATGTGCTGGTCGGAGGCATATAACATGGAGATGTTGAAGTAAGACAAGTTTAGGGTTTCTGTGCCCAAATGGCTCATTCACTTGATTTGATATGAGCCCTAATTGTTTGAAAATAGAAAATATGATTTAAGATATATAACTGAAATGTTTTAATTAGCGATAACCCTTCTTGTGATTTAAAATAATATAATAATTAAAATGTGATTTTCCTCATTTCTTCCTTTAATCAAAGTGTTAAACTTATCTTGATTCCATTTCCGGTGGATAGTCAATCATTCTGCAGATGACTGGATTAAGTTTGAAAAAAAATGTTCAAAGATTTTGCATTGTCTTGTAAAGATTGCTTTTCCATACATAACGGGATAAAAAAATATATAAAGAATGATCTTTTGTGTAATAAAATGGTTTCCTTTTTGGGTCAGCAGGCCTATGAATAAGGTGACTAGTTTGGGTTGATGAGAGTCTTGAGAACGAACCAAAACAGTAAAGTTTGGGATACCAAAACAGTGCGCTGAAAGACACTAAAACGCTAGTGCTAACTCTTTCTAGGTTAATTCCTGTATTGTATTATGTAGGGCTACCCTCGACTAAAGATTTTTCTAGTCGACCAATAGTCGTCAATTAAGGCGATTAGTCGACTAATTGGTGTACATGATACATTATGATTCTAAATTTTATTTATTTTTCTCCCAAAATGGTTTCAGTTCCAAAGGCTGATAAAGAGCGTTATTATAACAGCATGGTACGTTGTGCTGCACATAAAATATAAAATAAAACTGTAATAATTCAAAACAAGCATTGAGGTAACACACAGAACATTTAGTTCTAGTTTCTATTATTCATATCTGATGATAACAACCCAATAAATACTACAGAGGAAACAGAAACACATATGAGCGTCGGCAAAAATCCCTCCATGCAAGCTTTATCGTTTTGAGGTCAGAATGATTATATTGTAGCATCTCGCTATAGGAACACAGGGAGGCTTTGTTTGTCTTTTATCCGGGAGTTCATTAATAACGATCACAGGTTACTGTTGGCCGTAGTCACGGCAAAACAATGAAATTACTCGGTTAAATCCTCACTCACATACTCCGTCAGCTCTCTCGTAGCATTCCCCAGCTCTCTCTCTCTAGGAACCTCAAAACAGTGACACGTTCGCTGATATTCCGAAAAATGTAGCTTTTTAAAAGTAAATGATATAATTATTTTTTTTCAACTATTCGACTAATGAAAAATTGCTCGATTAATACTTTATTATTCGAATAGTGATTAGTCGACTATTAGGGGGAAGCCCTAGTATTAGGTGTGTGTTTATATTCGTTTTGCTTTCATTATGTTAAAATGACCGTAAGTTTGTCCAAGTTGCAAGAATTGTTGACTCAACCTAAAGTTTAAGTAACATAACGTAACTTCCCAACTTTGTGCTAAACTAGGCTAAACACATAGATACATCTACCAGATTAACCTAACCCTACCTCATCTAAACTTGAAGTAACATAACTTCCAGACATCGTGCTAAGCTGGGCTGAACACATAGATACATCCAACCAATTAACCTAACCCTAACCGAACTTCACCTTAAGTTTAAGTAACATAACGTAACTTCAAGACTTTGTGCTAAGCTAGGCTAAACACATTGATACATCCAACCAATTAACCTAACCCGACTTCATCTAAAGTTTAAGTAACATAACTGCCAGACTTTGTGCTAAGCTAGGCTAAACACATTGATACATCCAACCAATTAACCTAACCCGACTTCATCTGAAGTTTAAGTAACATAACTGCTAGACTTTGTGCTAAGCTAGGCTGAACACCAACATCCAACAAATTAACTTAACCCTAACCCTACCTCATCTAAAGTTTAAGTAACGTAACTTCCAGACAATGTGCTAAGCTAGGCTAAACACATAGATACATCCACCAAATAGGTACATAGAGATGTCATTAGACCAATGTTTTAAGATAAAAATAACTACTGTGGCTCAAAACTATTATCTGCCAAGAGCTCTGTAATAAGATGAGATGGACCTTTATTGATCAACCATAGGGATATTATAACATTATAAAAAAACATAAAGTCCTTTGTACGAGATGAACTCCACTCATAAGTCGACTGTTCAAATCTGAAAAACTGGAAGCTGTTATTTTTCTGCTCCGTCATTCTACATAGCGCTCATCAGATAGGATTACTCATGGAAGAACACACATGTCAAGGTTGAGCGAAGCAGGCAGGACCCAAAGGCAGATTTAACAGAAAATACCTTTATTTAAAGGCTACAAGAAAAATACAGAGCTCTTCCCCGTGAACACAGTCAAAAACAAACAAGGATCTCACAAAGACTAACAGGAAAAAAAAAAAACTAAATGCACACAGGACTAATCAAAGAAACAAGAGACAGGTGAGGAGGGAGGAGAAAACACAGGGGCACAAGGTGAACACAATCAGGAAATCAGGTAGGAGGGAACACACAGACAGGAAACCAAAGACAGATCTAGACAAGACAAAACACAACACAGACAGATCGTGACAACACACACACATACATTTATGTTATCCTGGCAAGAAAGTAAAACACTCCCCTGGCCTGCAGGATCAATGGTGTGAAAAATAGCATGCACTGATTCTAAGTGTGTGTGAGCACTCATTAGGTGTGTGTTTATGTGTGTGTGTGTGAATCTGGCCTTTGTGTATTGTACATCACATTGCCTTTAAATGCCTTTCAAGGTTCACAAACTTCCGATGATGAAATGAAAACCTAACTGTGCCAAATGTACCTTATTCTTTCATTCCCTTTTTACTCTCTAAACGTTAATTTTCAAATATTCACACATGAATGCGACTCTTATCCCCAGCAGGCCGCCGCGCATCGTTTGTGAAAAACTTGCAATATATTCTGCGTGGCTGATCGGAAAACTAACTAGCAAGCAGCCCGGAGCAACAGTCTCATTGTTATTCCGTGGATGGGATTACTTTAGTCTCAGTGGTGTAAATTGTAAATCGAGAGAGCTTTCTATTGGTTTAGAATAAAATCACCAATGTTGCACTTGATGCAGAAGATTCTCACTGAATTGAAACTCCTAACAGGCACAAAAAAAGGAATTTGTCGATTAACTACAGTCATTAAACGCATAGATATAGTGCTGAGAAGAGGTTTAATCAGCCATTACAAAATAAGACACCTATAGGCAGCTTGACAAACATTACGCAACACTTTTTATCTACTAATCTTGGGTTATTGAACAGTGACGTCCAATAGAGCAAAAGACGGAAGAAAACAAAGGTCACTTTTAATGTAACTTATGACTGAACTTTCTAATCGTGAGAATTATTGTTTTTTTCATGTTAGACTAAAAGGAATCGTAAAAGTTAAAACTAAAAAGAAATGAATGTGAACTATTTCATTTATATCTGAATGAACTTTTATTTGAGATACCTCTGCAACACTGGGAGCTTCATGCATGCTGCAGACACAAAGGCAACAAGAAAAACAAGTTTGACTTAGGGATTTGTTTCACATGTTCCCGTGAATAGCGTCTTAAAATATGTGTTGACTTATGTGGGATCGGTTGTCACATTTAGAAATAAAAAAATGCGGATGAAAGATGTACGATATAAAGTTGTGGGCGGAGCTAGGTATGAGGTATTAAATAATGAGCACAGAGGGAAGAAGGCACAGTGAAAATGGCTCTCTACCAATTTCTGTGTGGTTCAGCGGTGATGATCATCCTCTTATCCAATGGTGAGAACGTTTATGTGATTTTTCTTTAAGCAATTACAAATGTTTTGTTGTTGAATGATATTATGCTAATGTGTTTGAGTTGATGTTGGTATCTCAAGGGACCAAAATAGTTGAGATTGTGAAATCTTCCTTCAAATTAAAGAGTAAATATTTAATCTACTAAAACTGGAAAATGACTGATTTTATAATGTGATCATAAGGAGTTCAAGTGCATGTGAAGGACAATCAATTAAAGTCACTGAAGTGTCAGAGTGCTTGTAATCAGTGCTAACCGTGCGGCTTGATTTAGATTTTTTTCTTGCACTATTTTGATTGGATCCACTCTTTCTATTTCTTTATTTAAAAAAGTATAAATAACATGGTCAGCAAAAGTATTGTTACTTTGATTTGGGTTAATCTTTGAAATTGTTTTGTCTGCTGGAGAGGCAGTGCAGAAGTGAAATATTTCAAACCAGGTTTACCCATCTGGGTCAATGGACCGTCACGTAATATGAAACCCATTGTAGTCATTGTGTTTTTTTTAAATCCTCTCAAAAACACAACAGGAATATTTTGTCTCCCCATCGTTAGCAAATGAGTCGAAAAAAAAACCAAAAGAATGGGATTTAATAGAAAATTAAACTGGTTGAGCTGATTTTTTGTTGCCGTATTTTCAATTATCTTTCCTTTTGCACTTATGAGTTCTCTGGTGTTCTCGTGTTCACTTGTTCCGTGCGATTGCTGAGAAAAAAATGAGCACAAGTGTGTTATTGGACAAAGTGTGATCTGTGAAGTTTATCAAACTAATGTCAAAAGTAAAGCATTATCAGTAAGTACATCAAGAGTTTGGGATAGGCTAGACAGATTTTGTGACACGACTTGGCAGACTTTAAAGTGAACTGATAGGATATGTTTTAGTTTTCAAAATATTTCGGAAGAGTCCATTTCTGCCTTCAATAAAGCAGGCCCTCTGTTAAACTACCACATCTCAGGTCTGTTGTTGATGTGTGCTCATAAAGGCTTGCAAGGGTGGAACGTAGGTGCATTTACTGAAGTACAATGATGAAGTACTTTACTTGAGTATTATCTTTTCATTCTACCTTAAACTTCAACTCCACTACAAATCAATGGGAATATATTGTGTACTGTAATACTTTCACTTATCTAGATACTAGGTAGTTTACAAAATAAGATTTTTACATAAAAAAAATACCACAGTGTGGTATTAGTAAGTGTACTTAAATAAAAGATTGTTTTGAAGATAAATTGTTCCACCACTAAATGCTTGCCATCCTTGGTTTCAACCAAGACGTTTGCATAACATTTTTCTGTCTGTGTTCTCAATTTCAGGATGTCATTCACAACAGCAGCCAGGTAAGCGTATATGAGCAACATAACAAGTTCTTCAAGATTCCTTCAGTGAGTTATGAAAAGCACTGGTTCTACATGTCCATGTCTAATCTGTTCTCTTTTCTCTGTCAGCATGTGGCCGGGCACCAAACAACCCCAGAATTGTAGGAGGTCAAAATGCGGCTGCAGGAAGTTGGCCCTGGGTAGCCAGTATACAAGTGAATGGCAGGCACCTTTGTGGAGGGTCTCTGATCAGCAATATGTGGGTTCTGACTGCTGCTCACTGCAACCCAGAGTAAGGAGTCACCATTGATCAAGTTTT